AACATTAGACAGGGGGCTTCCCTGGTGGCGCAGTGGTTAAGAACCCGCCTGCCAATGCAGGGGACACGGGTTCGAGCCCTGGTCCGGGAAGATCCCACATGCCGCGGAGCAACTAAGCCCGTGCGCCACAACCACTGACCCTGCGCTCTAGAGCCCACGAGCCACAAATGCTGAGCCCGCGAGCCACAACTACTGAAGGCCGCGCACCTAGAGCCCGTGCTCTGCAACAAGAGAAGCCACCGCAATGAGAAGCCCGCATGCCGCAACAAAGAGTAGCCCCCACTCGCCTCAACTAGAGAAAGCCCGCGTGCAGCAACAAAGACCCAAGGCAGCCAAAAATAAATATAAATAAAATAAATAAATTTATTTTAAAAAAGAAAACATTAGACAGGAAGGCAGTTTCGTTGTTGATAAAAATGTATATTTCCTTACTCCCCAAAGAATTGAAGTCTAGAAGAGAAATATTTGTCCGTTCCCCTCCCCCCCCCCCACTTTTAGCATAGCAGCCTTATTCACAGTAGCAAAAAGGTGGAAACAACCCGTGTCCATCAGTGGATGAATGGATTTTTTTTTAGTGTGGTATGTCCATACAGTGAAATATTATTCAGCCTTTAAAAGGAAAGAAATTTGTAACATGCTACATCATGGTTGAACCTTGAGGTTCATGCTAAATAAAATAAGCCGGATGCAAAAGATACATACTGTATGATTCCTCTTATATAAGGTACCCTGAGTAGGCAGATCCATAGAGACAGAAAGTAGAAAGGTGGTAGCAAGGGGCTGAGGGGAGGACAGAACGGGGAGTTAGTGTTTCACGGGTACGGTTTTAGTTCTGCAGGGTGAAGGGTTCTGAAGGTTAGCATCACAGCAGCAGGAATGTGCTTAACACTACAGAACTGTACACCTGAACGTGATAAAGATGGTAAATCTTCTGTTATGTGTGTTTTACCACAATTGAAAATTAAATATATGTATTCCTTGAAAAAAATTTCGTGTTTAAAAACTAAAAACAAGTCAGTTAAATACCCACTCACACGAATTCCTTCATTGTCATCCATTTACTATTACCTTGTTCACGTGTGAGTTTTTTTCAATTATTATCTTATAGAGAAGTCACGCTCACTTTTCCTTTTCAGATCAATCTAGAGTTCAGTAAATAGTGCATTCTGTTCATTAAATGTGTCATGAGTAGTGCTAATCTGTTTTGTTGTTGTTTTGTTTCACTTCCAGGGCAAACATAAGTCTTTAGTTAGCCCTGTTGCCCTCACGCCGTCATAATAATATTACGTAAGGTTTGTGCAGCGTGATTTTTGTAACACACTGCGTGGCTTCAGTGCTTGCAGTGAAATGAGTACAGCAGCATATTCACCTCTCCCACTAGGAATGAGGTTGCATGATTCAGCCAGATCTAAGGGGCTGCGTTCTTCCTTAACCCTCCTGTCCCACAGCAGCCCACAAACCCCCCACCTGAGCTGCTCTGGAGGGCTGGAGGAGCCCAGGTGAGCCGGGTTGCATGGGACCTATCACACTGCTCGGGTGACACCATATTCTGTGAGCTGCCTTCCCCTGAAAAAGCGTAACTGTCACATCACATGGAATCCTTGCTTTGTCAACAGGAAGGTCAGAAAATATTTATTCCATTTATTCAACTGTATATTGAGAGCCTACTCTTGTAGTCCAGGGGCTGTACTGTATCCCACCTCTACGTGAACAAGAGGTGGTCCTTGACCTCAAAGAGTTTATAGGCTATTCTCAATTCTTCAGCTAATGAACATGGAATCTTTTACATTAGAAGTTACACTCGAGGTTTTCTCTAGCCCAGACTCGACTTTGCACTCATGCGGTAATTCTCCTGCAACAACCCGGGAGCCATACTCGGCTTACCCTGAACTCTGCCAGAGTAAAACAGCTCTGGTTATTATAGCTTTTCCTTAAACATTTCCTTCTAATTTCTGTCCTTGCTTCACCTTCTGCCTTCCTGGAAAATAATGATCATTTCTTTCTAGAGTTGTCCCTTCTAGAGGTGGAGATTCTTCTTTTTTTAAAAAAAAAGAATCAACTTTATTTTTGGTTGCGTTGGGTCTTCGTTGCTGCACGCGGGCTTTCTCCAGTTGCGGCGAGCGGGAGTTACTCTTCCTTGCGGTGCGCAGGCTTCTCATTGTGGTGGCTTCTCTTGTTGCGGAGCACGGGCTCTAGGCACGCGGGCTTCAGTAGTTGTGGCACACGGACTCAGTAGTTTCGGCTTGCGGGCTCTAGAGCACGGGTTCGGTAGTTGTGGCTCGCAGGCTCAGTAGTTGTAGTGCACAGGCTTACTTGCTCCACAGCATGTGGGATCTTCCCGGACCAGGGATTGAACTGGTGTCCCCTGCATTGGCAGGCGGATTCTTAACCACTGCGCCACCAGGGAAGTACTAAAGTGGAGATTCTTCTCTGATTTCTCTTATGACATGGTTTACAAAAGGCCCCTTGCCACCCGGTAGATTTCAGCATCAGAGTTTGATCCTGGCGCTCTTACCATCGGAGGTCCATCAGTACATCCCAACAGGGCGTGGGCTTTGCTAGCAGCCACTCATTGCCAGGCCCTGCTGAACCTCTGGTGCCATGTAACACCCAGGTCAGAGCATTACAGGGCTATCGGATGGCAAAGAAGAGAACGCCCACGTGTGCTTGAGGACGGTCAGTACAGGCTTCCTGGAGATGCTGGCCTTTGAGATAGATCTTAGAGCGCTCAGGGAGTTTTAGCAGAGGTGATCTTGAGTTTTTCTTACTTAGGTACATTTTAAGAAGGTTAGACTTGCAGTAGAGTGGGGGTGGTGGTGTTAGAAGTGAAGAAACCAGTTAGGAAGCTGTCATGGTAGGCGAGACCTTTAACATCTCAACCAAGAGCACTTTGAAGGGTCGTCTTCCCCACATCCTCACCCACACTTGAAATTCTCATACTTTCAGTCTTGCTGATCTCACGGTTGTAAATTGGTTTTTCATCATTTTAATTTGCCTTTCCTTGATCACTAATGAGATTGGGCATTTTTTCATATTGTCATTAGTCACTCTTTTGCCTAGTATTAAATATTTGTTTGTCTTTTTCTGAATTTGTGGGAGTTTTATGCATTCTAGTAACTAATCTTTTAAATATTTGCAAGCATCTTCTCCCAGACTGTTCCTTATGCTTTATCCTTATTTCTGATGTCTTTTTTTTTTTAATACAAGGAACTTTAAGTTTTGATGTCAGGTCTATAAATCATTTCCTTTAAGGCGGAGTCTGTTGTTACCTTGTTTAAGAAATCCTTCCGTACCTCAGGATAATAAAGAGAGTTCCCCAATTTTTTCCCCCAATATGTAGAGTTTTGATTTTGAAGATTTTGCCTTTGTTCCATATTGGACTTATTTAGGGGCCTGGTGTAAGGCAGGAATTTAATTTTATTTCTCCAGCCAAAAGTCAGTTGAATAGTCAGTCCTTTCCCTGTTTTGTGCCATGTCTACTATATACTGTCCCACACCTGCTGAGGTGTCCTTCTGTGTTCTTTGTTTTCTTCCCTTGATTAATCATCTCGTCCTGTGCCGATACCACATGGAATTAATCAGCATAGTTTTGTGGTATGATTGATACCTGGTATGGCAGGTCCCTTATCTTTGTTCTTTTGGTTTTATTTATTTTTGAAGTTATCTTACCTATTTATGCCGTTACTCTTCATTATGAATTTTAAAATTGGTTGGCCAAGTAACCTAAGTGCTCGTGGGATTTTTATTGGAATTGGATTGAACTAATAGATTAAGTTTGGGAGACCGACCTCTATTCAGTATTGCATCTCCTCACCCATGAACAAAGTATTTCTCTCCATTGATTCAGATCCTCTTTTATGTCCTTCAGCGAAAGATCATGATGACTTGCACCTTCATTTCTTTTTTATTTGTTGAAACATCCAGTATTTCAGTTCCAGACCACAGAGCAACTCTACAGTAATAAAAACTGTAGTAATAAAAAATACATTTTAAACTAATTTGGGGTACTATCAGATTGGCAGAGCAGAGCTAGCTTTTATTTTCTCCTGTTAGGTATATATCAGCAGTAATTCATGCAAATTTGCCACTGCCCAGCAGAGTCCTTGAGGTGGGCCATGAGAGGCTTCTGCCCCTTGGCTGACGTCCATTCCATCAGCACTTGGTCCAGCAGCCCTTCACTGAACAGTACATCCACCAACCGTCTTCATTATACCTATGTGTTTTCTACCCACAGTGAAATTAGGAACAATTTTGTCAAATGCTTTGCTTGAATTAAGAATCACTTTATCCATGGCACATTCCTTTCCTAATGAACCATCCTTGTTTCTGAAGGCCACTTTTAGTATTTCACTAGCAACCTATATCCAAGTGTTGCATCCAACATTGTGGAAGATTTTTCCATCTCCTCCCCACACACTTATTTGCCCATATCTAGTCTTCTCAGATTTTTCCCATTCTCCTTGTTGTCTCATAATTTGCTAAAGTGACACTAGGTTCAACCTCTGGTTTTCCAATAAAGTGTTTGATCACATTAGCATTTATATTAAAATCTCAACCCATTCCTGCTCACCAAAAAAAAAAAAAAAAATGTGTCCTTTAGAACTGCTACATTTCTGTCATATAACCCAAGTTGAGACCCACTTAAACACCAGCACTGTTTAGTTAGGAGACTTATGTTCTGACTTAAAAGATCACTAAAAAGCATAGTATAAACTACATTTTTTAAAAGGATGCAGTGGATAAGAATGATTTAACTAGATAAGCAGCCTCTGAACTGGCTGAACATCTAAGGCTTCTTACTTGCTGGTTGATCTCTGATCTGAAAATTTCAGGACGTTAAGGATGATAGAAGAGGAAAGTGTTTGCTTCAAATACTACAGTTGATGAGGAGGGAATCTGGTAGTGAATTTTAAGCAATTACAGAAAATCTCACTAAGCTCTCCCTTAATTCTTTAACCAGCTTGAAGGTAACGATTTTGTTGTCATTTGTGTTTTCCCAGCTTCCAATTGTGGAAAAGATAAGAACCATCGCCCAGGCTGTCTATGGAGCCGAAGATATTGAACTGTCTCCGGAGGCACAATCCAAAATAGATCGTTACACGGAACAGGTAAAAGTTGTGCATTTAGGGGGGAAAATCCAGCTTAGGCTTTTGAAATTATTCACCTTGACTCGAGAGCTGGTGTATGTCCCACCAGCTGAACTTGGCTTAATCTACTCTGTGGTCTACAAAAATTGAATTAATGTCCTTGGGTAGGACGTTAACTGTAATTATGGTGAGAGTACATACATCATTGACTTTTATGGTTATAAATTTGTCTAATACAGGTAGTGTCCATGTTTATCTGTGTGTGTGAGATCTTTAGCCCCTGCTAGTCAGCCAGAAACATTGAAACTGTTCTTGGATGTGCAGCAGTGGAGTCAAGAGTTAAATAATCTGTAGTGCTTCCTCTTACTGTCTTAAAAATGGTAGCATGGCGCCAGGTTAGTCAAGGACTGCAGCACACAAAGTTGGGGGTGCTTGGTATTCTTTCTTATACAAGTGCCTCATCGGCTTGGTGCTGAGACTGTCCACAATGGCTGAAGGCTCCATCACCTTCTGCCGTGCACATGGCCAAGATTCAGCAGCGAGAGTCTAGTCCTGTAATGGTCATGTCGATTAGGCTCCACTGCAGCGTGTTCGGCCACCTTAACCAAAGGGGCCATGTGCCTCAAACACCCCCTCCAGTTTGCTGTGATCAGATAGAAGTCAGAGCTCTTCAAGAGCTTGCTGGCAAAAGAGCTTCATGATGGGTATCACTGATCTATTTTTTTTAACCCCCAACTCCTAAATTCTATTTTTAAAGCATATTTAATATTTTGTCCTATGCTACCAGCACTAGCCAGGGTATTCTCCCAGCTTTGGTAAGACAGTCAGCAATTCATTTCTTCTTAGGATTTTCCAAGAGCTTAGAATGCTCTTGGCTTGTGCTTTTTAATAAATGATCCTCAAACAGTGCTGTGCACACTGGCATTGTTCTGCAGTGAGATTTCCACTCATGTGCAATGAAATGAGTAAAATAAGCTCATTGTCATAAGGGTTTTTTTAATAAGTTTTTAATAATGCTATTTAAGGACTATCATGGATTGGAATATTAGGTCCTTCCTGATGTTTTCTCAGGCTTAAAACCTTCTTTCTTTTGTGAAGTAATATGGTTATGGTATGTAGCACATTGGGTTCTTAAAAAATATATTCTTACTGGCAAACTTTTAAATTGGCAAACCCATATCAGTTCATAAAAATTATGTCAGTATTTGATTGATCTCTGAAACCCACAATTCTGGGCACCATTCCTGTAGGGGAATTGTGATCGCCACCCAGCAGATTTCTGATCCGTATCTAAGAGTAAAGGGAACATCCCACCCCCCAACCCCAGTTGACAGTACTCTGAAATCTCCCAAATAGTTCTAGGTTGAATCATAAGAAATTCTGTGTGGGTTACCTCTGAAGATTGCATTCCTTTTATCTCTGTCTGTCCACCGAGGGAATGTTCCTTAAAAGTTATGCGTCAAGTATGTGGTTGCAGTTAATTAGCAAAGTCTCTAAGGAGGCACTGTGTACCCTTAATCGGGACCAGGCAGCGAGGACACTGTCCTTTTTGTGAGACCCCACATGTGACTGCCTCCCCTTTCACCTTTGGAACTCTGGGTCAGGCATCGCCTTTGGTCCTTAAAAATAAGAGGCTTAAATAGTGACCTCATCTTAGTTCATATAATGTAATCGCAGATCAAATAGCCATGATTCATAAAACAACACAAAGAGGCTCTTTGCTTCCTGACAGCCTCTAAGAATGAGCGAACAACGGGACTAAAAAGCCTTGTTACAAAGCCTTTCTCCAGGTTACCTTTCTGAGTGCCGGATATTAATATCCTTAGAAAGTGGTTTCTACAGCTGCTGCTGCTGCCTGCAGTTACTTGCTTGCCTGCAAATAGCCACCTTTTCTTCAAAGACACACATAATGCTGCCTTTCTGTAACAAGAATTATCCAAAGTACGTAATAGACACCCTTAGCTTGCCAGGTGATGATCTCGTGCAGACGAGTTTTTGTCCCATCTTCTTGTTCAGTGAACAAGCAGTAACAAGCACTGTTGTATGTGTGGATCTGAGTCGTGGGGATTCTGTGGAGTGCAGGTCAAACAAGTACAGGAACGTTTATGCTCAAGGAACACCTTTCCTTTCCTTTCTTACAGGGTTTTGGAAATTTGCCCATCTGCATGGCTAAGACCCACCTTTCCCTGTCTCACCAACCTGACAAGAAAGGCGTACCCAAGGATTTCATTCTACCCATTAGTGACGTACGGGCCAGCATAGGCGCTGGGTTCATTTACCCATTGGTTGGAACGGTGAGTGTGTAACATTCTCCAGAAACCTCCCCCAGTCTGTGTTGTCATGATGCCTGAAATCCTTATGCTCTGGGAATGCCTTACAGATTGGGTATTGGGAAGTAATTAATAGTATTTGCTCTTTTCCTAAATATTCTCTTCCACAGTGAAAAATGCACCTGCCATCAGGGTTTGAATTTTTCTTTTCTTTATCTTTTTTTTTTTGCGGTACGCAGGCCTCTCACTGTTGTGGCCTCTCCCGTTGCGGGGCACAGGCCCCAGACGCGCAGGCTCAGCGGCCATGGCTCACGGGCCTAGCTGCTCCGCGGCATGTGGGATCTTCCCGGACCGGGGCACGAACCTGTGTCCCTTGCCTCAGCAGGCGGACTCTCAACCACTGCGCCACCAGGGAAGCCCTCGAGGTATATTTTGAAGGTAGCCACCTGCACGTGAGGCTCGGGACAAAGGACACTTCTAGCCTGAGTGTAGACGGCAATGCTGTCCGTCGCGGAAGGAACACAGTCAAGAAGACAGATGGGCAGGGCCAGAAATGCGTCTGGCCAGGATGTAGAGAGCTGAAAGGGCTCATAGGATCTATAAAATGGTCTGTGAATCCATGAGAAACACAGACACAGCACTCAGAAGAAAGGAACAGGCAGGAAGAAGGCCCTGAGAGCTTTAAGAATATACATGAGGGTGGACACAGGGGAGAAGCAAGGATATGCACTAGAGAAATAAGCGGTAAAGGATGGTACTAGGAAAACTGCCATGTTTCCGGAGCCAACGGGGTAACAGGAGCCCTCGAGGGTCTGGGCAGAACCATCGTAGGTGGCACAGGGAGACCAGAGAGTAACCGCAGGAGCTGGTGGTGGAGTTTCCCATTGAGGGAGGCATAGCGACAGTGCTGGAAGAGGGAGAAGGGTTCAAATAAAACAGGTTCTGAATGGTAATTTTAGAAAAGGTGCAACTGAAGGTAAAAAAAAATTCAGATCAGTGGTCCAGGGGGCAGACGGGGAGAGGGGACAGATTGCAGAGGGGCACCAGCGACCTTTTGTGGGTGATGGAAATACTCTATATCAGCGGTCCCCAACCTTTTTGGCACCAGGGACCAGTTTCATGGAAGACAGTTTTTCCACGGATGGGGGAGGGGGGACATTTCAGGCCGTAGTGCGAGCAAAATGGGGAGCAATGGGGAACAGCAGATGAAGCTTCGCTCGCTCCCTTGCCGCTCACCTCCTGCTGTGCAGCCGGGTTCCTAACAGGCCGCGGACTGATACCGTTCCATGGCCTGGGGGTTGGGGACACCTGCTCTATATTTTAATTGTGGTGGTGGATCCATGACTGTATACATGTGTCAAAACTCATAGACCTACACGTTTTTAAAGGGTAAAATTTATTGAGTATAATTTAATCTTACCTCAGTTAACAAAAACACGAGGAGAGCTTGCTTTATATTCCTTAGAATGGCCTCCCTGATGGCAGCGCCTCAGGGCCAGAGATCTGGTCTTCAGTCCATGAAGGCCTTTGCTTAGCAGAGCACAGCCGGGTAGTACCCGCCCAGAGGGGCCAGGGACAAGCAGCCACGAGGGTCCCAAAGAGCATGGAACAGTGGACACAACTGAGGAGGGAATTAGCTGAGTTCCTAATCTGCCCTGTCTTGTCCTGCACAGATTTGAAATCCTACAGTAGTTCTCCCAACAAATTCATTCATTCAGGGAGCGTGCACGTGGCCCTGTGCTCCATGCCGTGGGGAGCCCCCAGTAAAGCAGCTTTCTCCACTTTAGGCAGCCAGTAAAGGTAGATAGAAGGGAATTAACAAAGACAGTGGTTTGGTATAAAAAATTGTGAGTCAATAAATGATACCTTCTGAGTATCTGAGCATTTAAGAGTCATTAAATACCAATCATAATTTTAAATCTGTGGGGTCACTAAGCAAATAGATGCTTGTGAGTCTCCTCCCACCTCAACTAATACCCTCACACCCACAGCCTTGTAAGACCAGTTCTGGAAAGCCAGGGTTCCATCAGCCACAGCTTGTGTGTGTGTGCATGACCACTAGTCCATCCCTCCGCCCCTCTGCTCCTCCTGGACGCCGGGCTGGTAGTTAGAAAATGAAGGTGTGAGCAGTCCTCAAGGGGTGGCCTCCGGCTGCCTGGGTTCCCTGAGGAGGTCCCGTGCCTCCACCCCCGGGTGGAGCCGTAAGCGGCAGGGCCCTGCGGTAAAATCCTCCAAAACAACCTCGTGAGGAGCGAGGAAGGAAGCAGTTCCTGGAGGTCAGGAAGCATCACGTGGAGGCGGTGACCTGCGGTCTGCTTTCAGTGACAGAGCAGGAAGCCGCTGGTGTCCGGGGCAAACGCACCGCAGGAGGCCAGGATCGCCTAATAAGGGCTGGTATTTACTTTTACTTGACCCCGTCCGGGGCCCTGCCACAGTCTGTGAGAATGCTTCTGAGATTCATCATCCATGTGGGAGACACAGTGTAGTAATTTCCTGCTGAGATGACCGAGGCAAAGGGGGATGGGGACACGGGGGGGACTGGCTCCTGCAGGTGGGAAAGTTCTAGCCTGATGGATCACCCTGACTCAACACGGGCTTATCTGAGTGCCTCTGAAGCACACATCCGTCTCTCCCCTCCAGGAAAAAAGCCCAAACTGAGACCTCAAAATCAGAAAACCCCTCAGTTTTTCTGCATTGCTCGTTCATTCATTCATGCATTCATTTATACCTGTCGGGTGGGAGGTGCCGTAAACCACATGGAGGTGAACAAGCTCCAGTCCTCTCCTGAGGGGCCTTATGGCAGATGCTGGCAAGTAAAATCATACATGTGCAGAACACCGTGGGCTTTATAGCAAAGGAGAAATCCCTTCTGGTGTGTCCTCAGGGGACGCCCGTCCTCCTGGCTACCTAGTAGGTCTAAAAGTGGAGGATCTCAACACAAGCATGTCCCTCCTCAAACAATAAACATCTCCAGCTTTGCTGACTTTGGCAGGTCGCACAGTGAAGTGCTGGAGAGTTTGGTTTTTTTCCCTCCAGATTTAGTTTTCTAAATATTTACGTTACCTTCCATCCTTACTTATAGGCCAAAGTTTTCTACCACTGAATGATTTCATCATGTTTTATTTAGTTACTGCTTTAATTGGAGTTGATCACCAATTTGTGACCTCCAGTTGGTGCAGACACTTTACCAGTACATTTCACTTCCTGGTGCGGTGTTTTTTTGGGTTTTTTTTTGCGGTACGTGGGCCTCTCACTGTTGTGGCCTCTCCCGTTGCGGAGCACAGGCTCCGGACGTGCAGGCTCAGCGGCCACGGCTCACGGGCCCAGCCGCTCCGCGGCATGTGGGATCTTCCCGGACCGGGGCACAAACCTGCGTCCCTTGCATCAGCAGGCGGACTCTCAACCACTGCGCCACCAAGGAAGCCCCCGGTGCTGTTTTTATAGAAGCACCCAGTCATACATGGGTTCCTCAGCTAGGGCCATCTAAGACCTTTGCCCCATCCTTAGTGCACTGGCAGTGTTTTCTATCTCATTTTTCCTTCCTAAAATATCTTCATTCCTACTAAGCTCCGTGTGTATCCTTGCCTCTCTTTAATGACATTATTCTTATATATTCTTTCCATCATATTATTGAAAGCTACAAAAGAGTATAAAATCCTTGACCAACACACCACCACTTAGTACCTCTCCTTGTAAGAAATAGTTTAGCAAATCCATGTGGGGAGAAAAGAGCAGACTGTTTTTAAGATTTTCCAACCCTATATTCTACAGATTACCCTGTTAAGTTTCCAAAAATTCTTTCAAAGCTTATGGTTTAGAGTGCTCAATAAATCTCATAACTTATAAAACTTCTCCAAAACAATCTCATTCCCCACCCCTTCCCCAGTTTAGTAGGTGGTCTTTGTCTGGTGGTCCCATTGCTTTGTTATTGTCTTTAGGTTTTTATAATTTATCAGGGCTGTTTAATCATTTGACATAAATTTTGTGACATGAAAACATTAATATGTAAGGAAAGTTTATAAAATTATATTATTGGGAAATAAATTACATTCCATATAGAAAAGACTAAAAAGACACCAAAATGTTGACAGGGGGCTGTGATATTATGAACAGCTTCTTTTCTTTTCTGCTTATTTCAAATTACTGCATCAAGGATGTGTCACTTTCATAACATGAAAATACAATAAATAGAGAAATGGTAAACTGAGAGTACTTGGGGAAACGTTTAGCCAGGGCCAGTTAGTTGCAAGGGAGTCAGAGTACACGTATGGCAGGCGGGATTAGGCTGGTGGAATCATCTTGCCCTTCCTGGCTTTCTTGTAGTGTTTTAACACCTGAAAATTGGGACACCAAAGAATGGACAAAAGAGCTGGAATGTTCCTCTGAGGAGTGCACTCCTGAGTATGGTTTGTCGAGTCTTGTCAGATGTTTGCTGGCCCCAAACTCTGCTAAGGAAATGCAAGATCGTTTTTTCCATGTTAATTTGTTTTCGTGCGGGGCTTCCTCACACAGTGACGTGTTGTCAGGACAGTTGGCTTGGAGAGGTGTCCAACCAAGTGTGAATTCCTAGCAGAAGTCCATTTGAAGGTAGTTTTTGGTGTCTCGGACTATTTTCCTTTGATATCACATCGAGGCAATGAGATTAGCTCCTTAGAGGAACTTAGAAGTCCTCTTGAATATGAAGTCTTCTCTATTGACAAACTTAGGACACAAAATTAGGACCTAATGGTTATTAAGGACAAGAATATGAGCTGGAATCTTGGGCTTAAGCCATCCTGCAGTCTACCCTGAAGGGATTAAGACTTCCTACAGCGTTTACGTGGTGTTCGGTGCCAGTTAGAGCCTTTCTGGGGGACACAGTGGCTACTTGAAACTGTGGAGAGAATCCTAGTGCTTTGGCCTCACAGACCAATGGGGAGAGAGAAGCATCTAGGCTGGGGGCTGTAAGATGCAGTGCGTCAGAGCTCCCAGTCTGTCTGGAGCAGTGATTCTCACTGGGCAGTTCCCCTGTCCCTTCCTACACC